ACATGAGCCTGACCAAACTGCGGGAGGCAGTAGAAGACAGGAGTGCCTGGCGTGCTCTGGTCCATGGGGTCACGAAGAGTCGGACATGACTAAACGACTAAACACGACTAAATGACTAAACAACACCTCCCAAAAGCATGTTTGGGTTGTTGTTGTTTTTCGTGTATTTACAGATCGATTTTTACTCTGAGTACTTTCTCTAAACCAAAATGTGGCCCTTAGTCCTTCTCACCTTCTGTCTGTTCCATCCCAGTTCTGCTGGTTATAGCATTGAAAACTGGCAGAACTGGAAGGAAAAGAGAAGCCCTAATGTATATGGGCCATCTATAACCTCCCTTTGCAAATTGATACCTCTATACCTTTTGCCCACACATTCACTAGGACTGTAGGTTTAAAATTAAATACTCTACATTAAAAGTTTATTAAAGTGTTAAAATTATTGGCCAAGTTTTTTTTGTTTTTTTTTAGTGCAGCTAGAGCTATTTGGGATGCATAAAATGAGTGCACAGCTCTGGGTTTCTTGGAAAAATTAACATGCTGATGGCCAAGTCAAGTGGTCAAATTAGCACAAAGAGAGCATGCAGCGGTTAGCAAGTGGTGAAGCCATGCTGTGAATATTTGCATCTCTCTTCTGACTTACTTTCTTCATACCTTTCAAAGTATTGACTTGATAGATCATTCCAGTGCTTGGAAAGTTTGTTTTTAACTGTTTTAGTTCAAGTTCACCCTTTCTAAAAAGGAACCAGTTCCAGTTCACATTTGTCCTTTTAAATTAGTTCTTTCAGATTCATCCAAATGAATCCTTGGCAACTCCCCCCCCCCCAATATTTAGGATGCTACAAGCTGCTGTGCTGAAGTAGAGGATGCAAAAGGAAATCAGAGGTCACACAAAAGTAGTAAGATTTGTGACAGGCAAAATGTCCACTGGTGAAGCTTTCCTCAGAATTGTATTTCCATGCTAGAAGAGTTTACCATGTTTAATTTCTGCTAGCCACACAGCTGTTATTTGCGTTCTATGTGTAACATGTTTGGGGGGCCGCTAGGGGCGCCATGGAAGATGGCGGATAATAACATCTATCCAGCTCGCAAGAGGTAATTTGAGGCTGATTATGGGGAGTAAATCAGTCTCCCTCGTCTCTCCAGGGAATGGAAAGACGCAGTTTTCACCCACGGATGCCATAAATCACCCCTGAGTTCGGAAGAAGGAGGGGGTGAGAGGCACTGGGTGCATAACCCTCGGCGGGTCTCTGAACTCCTCCGAAGCTGCTTCCAGGAGCGAAACTAGTTGCGTTACTTAAAAGGAAAAATTTGGAGAAAGCTAACGCACATGCTTCGAGAGAGGCAGGAGGTTTTATCTGCTAATAATTTGGCCACTGAAAGGAAGAAGATTGAGACGGAAGATTACATCAAAGTACTACAGACATGCTGGTATGTGGAAGGCTATGGAACGGAAAGGAGGAGGGAATGACTTTTTATTTCTTGTTTCATGTGATTACCTAATAACCCTCCCCCTCAGAAGATCCGTCACAATAACTAAATGGCAAATGGGGTTAAAATGAGCTGTGTCGGGAAAGAATTTAAAGGTTTTACTCTGTGAAGGGCTTGGAAAAACAAAGGCTCTCTCTGTGACGCAGCAAAAATTGAGATTCAATACAGAAAGACAGACATCTGTTGCAGGGAGTTTGGTCTTGGGGAGGGCGAGCCAAAGATTTGTTATCTGGATGGAATTGTGGACTGGAAGGGGCAGCCCTCCTGGAAAAGACTAATTTACGATGCAACAGGTCTGGAAAGTTAACGAGCGGGCTTTTAGACTGTATTTCATCGGAACGGCAAGATGGCGATTGCCCGCTCGAGTGGAAACACCTGGACTATTGGATGAGAGTGATTCACGAGAGAGCAATACAGAATCCACACAGAGAAATAAATAACTGGTTTTTTTAACCCACTTGTGGAGATAACTCAGAGGTGAATGAAAAGGAAAATGAGTAATGACAAGGACTAAGAAGAGGGACTGAAAATATCATTGAAAATATGAAAGCAGCAGAAATATTCGAGGATTGGACTCCTGCCGATCAAGAAGCATGGGTACCCCCCACAAAAATTTTACAATTGGGAAATAATTGGATTATATGATGTGCATTGTTATAATTTGGATTAATTGGTTTGAAATGTTTAATTTGGTAAATGGAAACTTAATAAAAATTATTTTTTAAAAAAATAAAAAAATAGAAGAGTTTACCATGTTTAATTTCTGCTAGCCACACAGCTATCATTTGCGTTCTATGTTTACTTCTCACTGAAAGCTGCTCTAGTCTACTCTTTAGCTTAGAATATACAAGAAATGCCTCGCATTCCTTCCTTCAGAAAGTGACCTTAGCAGCAATTCCATACCTGCCTAATACGTTGCGGTCATATTTTGTTTTCTAATTTTCTTTACAGATGTCCAGCTGACTGACTTTTTTCTTAATGAAAGCTAAGAATCTGTGTCTCCTGTTTGGGGATTGGAGGATGAACGTGAAGATGAACCAAAAAACATTCACGGTTCTCCCCCCTAAATGAACTTTGTTCACCTTTAGTTCATCCAGCAATGATCAGGACCACTTTCACATGTAGCTCGGAGATTTTTGAAGTAGTTCAGTGAACTTAATTCAACTGAGCTACTTTATTCCAAGCCGTGGATCAGACAAAGTCCACCAGTCTCGGAGAAATTTAATTGCATGCTCTGTAATAGCGTGTAATAAAAGAGACTTTAAAAGTGCTTGACTATGGCAGGATCTTGTGGCTTATATTAACAAAAATTTTACATGCTAGGTCTGGAAAAAAGTGGCCAAAGAGTTTCATAAGGAGTATAGCATAATCCTATAGTCAATTCTACTAGCAGAGCCAATCCAGTGGTGATACGGACATCCTAGCAAGAATAAGCATGTAGCCCTCATCATTAATGAAGCTTGCCAGTGTTGTTTATTGAGAAAAGCAAGCTTATAACTTGGAGCCCAGCGAAAACAAAGACACAGCATCAAAACAGTGGTTTTGGCAAACTTGCTCTTAATCATGTTCACATTCAACAAATGGAATCCTTACTGAACTTTCTTGTACCTGTGGACCTTCGGACATGTGGGAGATCCCCATTTTCTATGCATGGCGTATTCTCAACACCGGAGAGAAAAAGGCAGTCCCTAGTGATGTGAAGATCTGTGTGTGCATCAGCAGCTAAGCACCACAGTATCTGGATCACAATAAGAAACTGTACAATTGCTCTGTTGAGACTAATTTAAAACAACTGCTGTATAATGACTGCATTTCAATATCTTCCAAAAATAATCATTTTTATGTAATCTACGGTGACAGGTTTACTGAATAAATTAGATGTGTTAAATTTTTACAATGCTCCGCATAGAGGCATCCTGATACAATCTGCATTAAATATAATTAACTTTCTTCCAGCAGAATCCTTAACAATCTAACATTAATCTAAAATTATAACAATACATTATTTTCCCCACATTTATTGACCTCATTATGTAGATATATTATTATAGGTACTTCATTGCATTATTTCACTTCTTCCAGAAGCAGAGTGACTGAAGAAGAAGGAAAAAAAACCATAGCCTAAAAATAAAATAAAATAAAACCACATTTAATTTTATACAGCTCATTTTCAACACAAGATGCCTGAAAATATGTTACAAAATAATGACTTCAAGCTATGGATAGTTTGCTGAACTTGACAGTTAGGCAGCTATTATCCATTTAATAATCAGCTCAAGAAGAGAGCACAGTACAATGGAACTGTTTTTACTGTGACAAAGAAAAGCCTTTGAGGGTTCTATCCTTCGCCTCATCTAGGTATGACTCATATGACCTTTGGAAATGATAGTCATAGGCTGGCATAATGATAACATCCCACCAATGATTACCGGTGCTACTGGGTTCAGAAATGAGACGTGTGAGATGACTGTTTCAGTTTAGTTGGTATTATTACTTTTCATGGTTGTTTGACCCAGCTGTTGTGTATCTGGGGTTCAAAAAATGTAGGAGTCACCGACCTTTATGAGCCAGTGGGCACATCTGGAATTCTGAGAAAGTTCCATGAATGCCAGTCACAAAATGGTGGCCATGGGGAGCGAAAAGGAAAAGGAAGAAAGCAGAAGAAGAGAGAGGAGCGCAAAATATTGAAGTCATCCCCACACATAAGATACACCAACAATTGAGGAAAAGACACCTACATCAGCCAGCACCCCAATTTCTCACAGAGAGAACCTCCTACACCCCTCATTTGTTCGGAACAGATGGGAAGGTGGGCAGCCAATCACACACAACAGTATATGGGCATGTTTAAGAGAGGGACATTCAAGGTGGCAGAGGCTAAGCCAATGCAAACAGGAATTGAGTGGGAAGAGCAAACAGTATTGGAAAGGATGCATCATGTCCGTGTCCAAAAATCAGACACTAGCTATTGATGAATTTCCCCACAAATAACAGGAAAGAGTTTCATTCACATCTTTAAACAGTAGCACTGAGCTAGTAAATTTTTTAAAAAATCCTTACCTCTAGATTTGGCATGTCAGATATTTTACAGTGGTACCTCAGGTTAAGTACTTAATTCGTTCCAGAGGTCTGTTCTTAACCTGAAGCACCACTTTAGCTAATGGGGCCTCCCGCTGCCGCCGTGCCACCAGAGCACAATTTCTGTTCTCATCCTGAAGCAAAGTTCTTAACCTGAAGCACTATTTCTGGGTTAGCGGAGTCTGTAACCTGAAGCGTATGTAACCTGAAGCGTATGTAACCCGAGGTACTACTGTACTGCCAAAGTTGTGAAGAGAATGAGAGTGGAAGGGTGAGGTGTTAACACCATGGAAGTTGGTGAATTTGGCACTGCAGGTGGAAAAGCATGCTGAAATTTTATTTTATTTTATTTTGAAATTACAGGAAGGTAGCCGTGTTGGTGTGCCGTAGTCGATACAAAATAAAAAAAAAATCTTCCAGTAGCACCTTAGAGACCAACTAAGTTTGTTATTGGCATGAGTTTTCGTGTGCATGCACACTGCTTCAGATTCAGATCATATCTGAAGAAGTGTGCATGCACACAAAAGCTCATACCAATAACAAACTTAGTTGGTATCTAAGGTGCTACTGGAATGAATTTTTTTATTTTGTTTATTTTAAAGCTAAATGATCCAATGGGAGTAGTGGGGCTGAAGGGGAAGGAGAAATCAGCTACTAATACTAATACTAATACTAATACTAATAGCAGCCTGCCTCTCCATTATGCTGATAGAAGCCTCCACTGGATCAAAGTACCTTCCACAAGCAAAGAGACCTCACTGGATACAAACCAGTTTGGGCCTGCATCATGGAATGTTATGAAGGTGAATGCAATTCAGCTCAAACTGAAAAAGTCAGAATACAAATACATCCATTAAATACATTTCTGAGTTCAGTGTACTGAATATGTGGTGGAGGAACTGGCCATGGTGCTGAAAGCAAATACGTCATAAAATGTTTTCATTGAAACTGTTTTATTGTGTTTCAATATTTTTGCAACTGTGCTGAGGGTGTTCAGTCATGGATGAGGAAAATGGCATTGGTTTTTGCCATTCACAGATTAATTGCCCTCAAAGAAAATGCTGCATGATGGTTTATCATTTTATCACTTCTTTATATGGTAAAGTAGTTTAGATGTGGTGAAGTGTTTATAACATTGCAGAGTAGTTTAAAAAAAAAATGGTAGTGGTAGTAACATTATCATCAAATCAAATTAGTCATCATGCCTATAGTATGTGCATAAAACATTTATCCAAAAGAATATATGTGCTACATACTTAAGTGATTACTACACAAGAACAGTGATTGGTCTGCTTGTAACCATGTATTAAAATAGTCACTCAGCTGAAAATGATGTATAGGTGGTATTTAACACCAGTTAAACTGCCCAAAATTTATAGAACAAACAATGAATGTTGGAAATGTAAGGAAAAGGAAGTTACTTTTTACCATATGTGGTGGACATGTAAAGAGATAAAAGCTTTCTGGGAAATGATATATAATGAGTTAAAGAAAATGTTTAAAAACACATTTGTTTAAAAAAAACCCAGAAGATTTTTTTATTGGGTGTAGTGGGAAGAGAGATACCGAGACAAGATAAAAAATTGTTCTTATAAGCAACAACTGCGGCAAGAATTTTGTTAGCCCAAAGATGGAAACAACAGGAGTTACCAACAAAAGAAGAGGGGCAGATGAAAAGGATGAACTTTGCAGAACTGGCGAAACTGACGGGAAGAATCCAGAACCAGTGAGACCAAGCATTCCAAAAGGACTGAAACAAATTTATATTATATTTGAAAAACAACTGTAAGCAATTAACCAAATATCCATTAGCAGGGTTATCTGAAGATCTGTAAAATGATATTTCTACCTATATTCAGGTTGAGTAATATAATATTTTAGGTAATGATATAACAAGAATAGGAAACGAAGTGAAATGTAAAGATGTAAAATTTAATTTTGTAAACCATCAAAAGGGAAGGAGGGAAGTCGTTAGGCTCAGTCGAGCCAAAGAGATAAAACAAGAAGGTATGATGTTATGTAATGTGATTATATGTAAAACCAATAAAATTATTGATAAAAATCATTCGGCAGAACTCAGTGGGAAGATCAGTTTACTTAAACCAGAGTGGGTGGGGTTAATAAGAAGAAGAAGAAGAAGAAGAAGAAGAAGAAGAAGAAGAAGAATTTTTATTTATATCCCGCCCTCCCCAGCCGAAGCCGGGCTCAGGGCGGCTAACAAAAATAAAATAATACAACATTCTAAAATCATTTCATTATAAAATTAATTCAAATCAAATTGATGGCAACCATTGGGCTAGATTCTGTGAAGATTGCCAAAGGAGGGAGTCAGACTGTGCCCTGGCCAAAGGCTTGGTGGAACAGCTCTGTCTTGCAGGCCCTGCGGAAAGATGTCAAGTCCCGCAGGGCCCTAGTCTCTTGTGACAGAGCGTTCCATCAGATCGGAGCCACAGCCGAAAAAGCCCTGGCTCTGGTTGAGGCCAGCCTAACCTCTCTGTGGCCTGGGACCTTCAAGATGTTTTTGTTTGAAGACCGTAAGTTCCTCTGTGGGACATACCAGGAGAGGCGGTCCTGTAGGTACAAGGGTCCTTAAGAGAGATGGAAAAGGCCCTTAAGAGAGATGGAAAAGCACAGGAGATGATAAAAGAAAGAAAGAATTATCATTTCATCAAAGGGATGTTTGAAGAGGATGCAATATTATAAAACAATGCCTCTTCTTCATTCTGTTGCCCAAGGTGAAATGCAGAATGGGTACCTGACCTTGCTAAAATATTTATATAGGCTTCGATAGCACAATAAATGAATCAATTTAGTATGCCAATACAAACTGCCAATGTAAGTAATTTCACACATGCACACACCTATAGGGATGTTCTGGGGTCTATTTCTATAATTGCAAAGTACACTTTCATTAAAATATGGAGCAGGGTTGCTTCAGAAGTTCAGATTTCAATGGTGCATAATTTGGCTCAGCTTGATAGAAAATTTGTTGCCTACGAATGAAAGCTACAAAAAAACAAATCAATGCGGGCAAAGCCGTCCAACAGAAAGTCACAAATTCAAGTGGAGCAATGCATATGTATTCAATCACTGCTATCTCGTCCCTTAGTCTGCTCAGCCTATAAAATAATCAATATGCCAACTTCATTTCCAGAATGGGCCTGTGGCAGCCGGGTAGGGGTGGGGATGGTTCAGGAAATGTGTTGGATGAACTGAGCATTTGAGAGGCAGTGACAAAGAGTATTAAAGCCTGATTAGCCAAATTATAGAACCTAATCAACTCCTGCAGGAGCAGGAAAGTAGATCTCATAAATATAGAAAAGATGTCAAATTTGGTATGAAATCTCCCCCTTCAATTTCAAGTCCTTGGTGAGTGTTTGCCCTTATTTCTCTTCAAAGCAATGACATAACAAATGCTTTAATCTCACAATCCTCCCATTAATATGTTAAAACACCATTGTTGCTTGCAGGTATAAAATGCTTGTGTCAAAAAGGCAGCAGAGAACAAACAAATGTAATCACAGACCTGGATTTAGAGCTTCCCTGAAGCATGACAACATTTGCTCTGGGACTTGGGCATGAGAGGTGGGGGGGAAGAGAGAAAATTATTTTGGTGATGCGTAGTTCAATCTACCTGTTCTAATAACCATTGCTCCCAGTGGAATTTCATACAGAAAAAATAATATCCCATAGAATGGAAAGTAATATGAGGTTAGTGATGTATTAGCCCTGCAATAATGAAGGAACTCCAACTTTTTATCCCCTAAAATTGATAAGGAAACTTTATTGCACTTTTGGATAGAGGTTCGGGCATCAGCGGTCTGACATATATGTAAACCATTAAAAATGCTATTTGAATCGGGGACCGTAGATTGCCTGTGTACAAACCTAATTACAATATAGGAACATGTTCCATGAGATGTTCATAACTAGCTTCAAAAGGCAATAATATTCTATCAATCTGCCAGATTTCTACTATAAAGGAACATTGAAGGCTCTCTTTAAAAATGTTATTAGCTTCGCAACAGAAAGATGCCTGAATTTAGAGATAAATTGAACAGGTGAGTAACATCAAAGCAACAGCTCGTGGGACACTTCTGGTGATTCCCTGCACCTTGGAGCTTTGGTGGTGGTTCACTAGGGATTGAGCCTTTAGTGCAGCAGGTACTGCCCTGCGGAACTCACTTCCACTTGAGGTACAGCAGGAAACATCCCTCCATTCTTTGGGAAGTCTTTTGGAAGCTATCCTGTACAGGCCTTTCGCTATGTGAATTTTATTGATGTGCACAGTGATGGTTTTTTATTCATATTTTATTGAAAAACATTTCAATTAAACAAAATAAAAAATATGGAAACAAAAAGTGCATAAAAATACAACAAAAAATCAAAACAATCTAATTCTGTACATACTTGCCCAATACAAATGTATATGAGTGAAATTATTCTTCTAATACAGGCTTTCTCAACCTTGGCCCTCCAGATGTTTTTGGCCTACAACTCCCATGATCCCTAGCTAACAGAACCAGTGGTCAGGGTTGATGGGAATTGTAGTCTCAAAACATCTGGAGGGCCGAGGTTGAGGAAACCTGTTCATTCATATATATATATATATATAATGTTCTTATAAAACTTCTGATGGTTTTATTGCTGTATGTTGTATACCACCCGGATATATATTTAAATGAAAGAGCAGATTAGACATATGTAAATAAATAAAATAAATAAAAGCTACAGAAACAATGGGCTAACAACCAGCAAACCCCAACACCTATTGAAATAAACAGGCCCCAAGTGAATAGTTAAGCATTCACAATTATATTCAGTTGGTTCTACTTGGATGTAAGCCATTCCATGTGATGGTTTCTGGTGCTCCTTCTGCAGGAAATGATAGATTTCTTTTCCTTCAGGCACTCCAGCTCCCATTGAAGAAGAAAAAACCCAAATGTGCAAATTACACAGGCTATCCTGATCCTAGAATGATTTCTATTAGCCATGTGGTTTAGCAGCTACAATTTGTGGGTGTTCCCAGGCCTTTTTTTTCAGCTGGAACTCACCAGAACTCAGTTCCGGCACCTCTCAGGTACGTGCCATTGCCATTATAAGAGAACAAGGGAGGCGTTCATGGTGAGTTCTGGCAACTCTTTTTCTAGAAAAATAGCACTAGGCCTTCTCAGTATCACAAATGACCAGGTGTATAGAAGTGATAGGGAATGACAATGAAAATAGGAAGGACACATAGAAGTAACCTCAAAAGTCTAGTAGGGGCAATGTAAACAAAGGAAGGATGACCCATGCAATGATGCTGTCTAAGGCCAACACAAGTGCCTACACATCCAACTTGTTCACAGAGTGCCAACTATTTTGTTACCTTCCTTTTTTTCTTGATGACCTTCCTAGTCCCCATTTTTTGTCATTCCAAGTAGGGGGCAACATCAGGAGGTTATTAAAACACTTGTGGGTCACCAAACTTGACTGCAGCATAAAAATATTCTGGAATAACATATATGAGGAATTGGGGGGGAAATGTTTAAAATTTTGGTAAGAAACCAGA